TGCTGCTCTCGTTTTTGCTATTGCCATCTCTGCTGTTCAGGCAACACCTCTGCCTCCGGGTCCCGCCCCGGCTCCCAGTCACAGCGGCAACGATGGTTAGTTTAGTTTAAGCTCCTTTGGATCTCAAATTTCATGGTTTTGGTTCATGAGATCATGCCTTTCTTTAAATATAAAAATAAAAAAAAAAAAAAAAATTGTTTGTTTCTTTAGATAAACTAGAGTCTAATAGAGAAAGATTGTGTGCCTTACATTGTAACATATTGCAAAAAGGGATCCATCTAGGTGAACCCATTTGGTTCTTTGAGTTTATATGAGCCTTCTTTTATGGGGTCTTGGAAATGTGATTGCATTTGTCGCATCTATTTGATTATATCTTCTGTGAACTGGGATTTTCTCACATCTTATTTTCAGGGACAACCCTTGACCAAGGGATTGCGTACGTGCTAATGTTGCTGGCCCTCGTGCTCACATACCTCATCCACAGCGCCGATGTTCCCGTCTTCTAAACTCAGCTCATGACGAAGGAGGGAACGGATGGAATCAGGGTTAGGAGTGTTTGTTTAGTCTAAGACTTGGGCTGATGATGCGTGATCAGGGGTGTGTATTACATTGCATGTAGCATTCTTTACTTTGACAAGTTGCTGTTGTTGGGGCTTTGGTGGCTGATGCTAGTGTTATCACTCTGTTTCATGTTAGTCTAATTCACATTCATATTTACCATTTCTCATATGGAGCATCGCTTTGATGGCTCTGTTCTTTCAAAACCCATGCTTGCAATCAGGGCTTCATAAAGTTCCTAGCTCTAGTGCCCTTGGTCAAGGAATTGTGGCTGCATTTCCATATTCATATTCTCAATCGCATATCCGTTTACCGAACGACATGAAGCACAAAAGTAGAAGAGGAAGGAAAGGTTTGATTTTCTGGGAGAAAAAAGTTAGGATTGATTTTCCGGATGAGATAATATGGCCTAACATCAGATGAAATTAGCAGTGATGCTGTTGGCATTCCTCTATTAATATAACTATTACAATGAAAAGGTTTGACCCTCTTATATAAAATTTAACATCATAATAAATGGGAGTTTCAAATACTACAAAAATGGGTGCCATCCGTCTAAACTCCCAAATGAAATGCCCTGCAGATCCAGATCAAAATAACATTTTGCAAACATCAATAGCATGAGGGTTTCCGATCTCAGATACACAGCCATCAGTTAAGTGATAATATGACCTCAACAAGTGTTGAACATAAAAATGGAAGAGGGGAAAGAAAGAGTCATCGACATGAGAAAAGACCTCAGGCCTAGCAATCCTATCAATACCGAATGCAATCAAGCTTTCTTGTCAATTGGCTTTGCATCCTTCTGTTCCTGGTCAGCTAGTGAAAACTTCTTCACTTTCTGTTAGGCAAAAAGAAACATGTGAGCATTTGCATAAATGCAAACACAAATTTACCTTCAGAAATTAGAACGATACATCTAGGTAAGGCCACTGGCCTAATAAGCTCATAGCAACTCAACTATCAAGATTGTAAAAAAGTTACACAATGAACAGCTTGAAACGAATCACAATTGCTATGGTTAATATTGACTTTGGAGCTGTTTTAAATTTGTGAAAGACTAAAAGAGCATCTATAGGCTTGATTTCTCAACAGCATTTGGCATAACTTGAAAACCCAAAAGAAATCGGGGAGCTAATTGCCTTTTTTACACACTGAATACCAAATTTATGTATCCAAAGATCAATTTCATGGCTACTTCACTTCAATTCCCTCATCTTCAATGTCATAGAACTTCATTAGATTTAGAAGGAGAAAAAATGAATTGACTTGAGGAAACATTGGTGCAAGTTCAAGACTTAAAAAAAACTCAAGTTGCATAAAAACGCCTTTCCCAACACTACAAATAATTGGAAAAGAAACTGCCTGGAAGAGTCAGAATCCCAGTCATCAGTCAGCTTAGGCTATGCTAGTTATTTCATTAGACAATAAACAAACCAGGACCATGAAGCAGTTTAATTAGTTCAAGCATGCATTATAAACCGGTTTTAAGCGGAATATTGTGATAGGATTTTGTCTTCGAAGATAAACAAGCTTCATGCTTTCCAAGAAAGAAAGAGGCATAAATGCTATGCAATCTGGGTTTCCATCTTAGCCAATTTTCAATCAACTTTACCCAACAGGACCTAAGTAAAAAGAATCCACAATCACATAATTTATTCACTCAATCAATGGGAGGCAATCCAACCCTAAAGGCATTATCAATTATGAGTGACTAATTTGATCAATTACAAAAACAAACCAATTAGAGACAAATTATGCAACAAATTTACATACCAATTCAAAATAGAGAGAGGAAATAAGAAAAAGAATGTGATTTGAGAGAGAAAGAGGGAGTGGGTGACCTTGTTGAGCACGCATTCTCGCAAGGAATTCAAGAGGCGGACGCATTTTTCTTGATCGAAAGGAGATAGGGTGACGCAGTTGAGCAGATCCAGAGCCTCCTGACCGCACACCGCCTTACCACGACCGTCCTCCATTGCTCTCCGTAGCCTTTTCAAGGTTTAGGGTTTTAGAGTTCGAATTAAACCCTCGCAGAGTCTCTTCGCTAGTTTTTTTCCTTGGATTGTTTGGTTCTCGAGAAAGAGAAAGAAAGTGCGAGAAAAATCGGCAGTCCCGCCTTGGCGCATAAGTTAGTCAATGTCGGTCCTCTGACCCTTGTTTCCCTTGTTTCCTTTCTTTTGTAGTAAACGACACCGTTTCTGGAGTAGTTTGATGGGAATGATCTCGCGGGAGCATTTTCATTTTCCAAATGAGTTGGGAAAATTGGGTGGCATTTTATACCAAAAAACCGAAAAACCGCAAAAACCAACCGATAATTTACTGCAATGAAACCGCAATCGCGGTAAACCGAACCGCATTTGCAGTATTTAGAACCGAACCGCATTTGCGGTTGTGGTTGCGGTATTTGATTTTCAAAACTTGCAGTTACCGCAAACCGCGAATATATTTTAAATAATATTGTCTATATTATATTGTATGTAAAATATATTTCATACAACATATTTCATATTGCGGTTGCGGTATTTGATTTTCAAAACTTGCGGTTACCGCAAACCGCAAATATATTTTAAATAATATTGTCTATATTATATTATATGTAAAATATATTTCATACAACATATTTCATACAATATTTTCTATTCACACCCATTATTTATGCTCATGTTATTTATGCTTCTTCTTATAATAAAATGTACTAAACTTATGTTGTTTTATTTGTAGATAGCATTGGTGCTCAAACAACATAACGGGGTTCTTCAAATTCACTCACCACCACCAACACTTGAGTTTGTAACTTTAGTTTGTAACATCGGTGCATTGCATTTTCCTTTTAGTTTGTAACTTTAAAGAATTTGGAATTGGAATGCTTGAGAAGTTTAACTTTAATTGGAATGCTTGGAATTGAACTTTAATTTTCTTTAGGTTGTGAATGCTTGAGAAGTTGAGGAGATTGTGAATTTATATATGTTTGAGAAGTTGGATTTTTATGACACAAAAAGAACTTGCGGTTTTAAACCGCTAATTCACGGTAACCGACCGCTTTTTACGGTTTACCTTACCGCAAAACGCGGTCGGTTTGCGGTTTCAAAAATCACCATACCGTAAATAGTCGGTCGGTTTGCAGTTTGGGCAAAAATTCACTGTTACCGAACCGCAACCACCCCTAGAAAATTGTATGACTAGATTTTTGGTAATTAGGCTGTACCTAGTTTGCTTTTTTTTTTTGGTGGGGAGGGGGNNGGGGGGGGGGGGGGGTGGGGGAGGATTGGGTAGGCTGCACTCTATGTTGCACGGATATGGATATTGGGACACGAAAACACGACACGGGGACACAGAAAATTTCAAAAAATTAGGACACGGATACGGATATGGACACACGATAATTAAAATAATAATAAATCATAATAAAGTTATAATAATATATACTTATATTTTTTATAAAATAAAAAAAATTCATACTCAATACTTCAATGTCATAATACAATAAAGTATTCATATTCATCATTTATACATAATAATTAATGTACCACAAAATATGATTGAGCATGAGAGGAGACCTTATTTGAATTAGCATTACTCATATTTCCCTAAATAAAATAAAGCATTATACACATACTTATTCACACATAAAACGATTTCCCACCTCATAAAATAAGAATCGGCTTAGCATAAATAAATAAATAAATAAATAAATAAAAGAAGAAACAAAGTGAATGAATTACCCACTCAAAAAGATGCTTCTCTCACGACCAACTTGTTATCAATATCTTTAGTCAACCAAAAATATCAGCTCTCCTACAAAGGAACAAAGAAAAAAAAAACATATTTAAACAAAAAATTGACACCAAAAATCTGATAAAACTAAGAAAATAAATAATAAAAAATTAGACCCTCGCCTTCACCTACAGAAGTTCGTAAGCATTTATTGATGTTTCAACTTCAAGTAATTTAAAATAAGATGAGAAGAAAGAATATGTGGAAAGGGAGAGAAGAAAAGTTGGGGTTTTTTCATGAAAAATGAGGTTGGCTGGGAGAGAAGAAAAACCCACTTTTTAAAACCATTTCAAATATGCCCACGGCGGTTTCAATAATTATGTTGTGACCTTAGTTTTTGTTTTAAAATTTCCAAAATGGTCATTGCCATGTCTTGACTTCAGTTGACCGTGTCCAAAACGTGTCTTGACCGTTGACCAGTGTTTGAGTTGTGTCCGAGACATGTCCGCGTGTCAGACACTCTGACACTTCAACCTGGTGGAGTGTCCATTCTACATAGGCTGTACTACTTTGCTGGTTATACCTATTACAGCTCATTATCATATTTATTTTATTTTATTTGAGGGTTATAAATATTTATTACTAGTTACGAAAGTATTGTCTTATAAATTTAACTATTGATTCAGTGATATTTCTCTTCACTTTGGTGGAAAGAAATTCTAAGTTGGAATCGAATATACCACCTCTAAAATCAAAATTGTGGGCTATGACTAATGAGGGAAGTTTATGCTTCAAATGTGGGTTGTTGCAACACTAAAACGCTATTTTCCCTCACTACCAAAGTGAAAAATACTATGCAAATAAAAAAGATACATTTGTTACATCCAACACACCCTACAATCAAACCGAATACTGAATATGGAAAATTTGAAATCCAAATCATGTTGCAATGACAAGCATGTCGAAGATGAAAGTAAACACATGTGTATTGTTGAGACATAACATGTGACACTACTCTTGTAAACATGTGCACTTAGGTAGATAAAACATAACATACCAATTAGATCTTAACCATGATATTTTTCTTTCCGATAATGAAAACGTCTCAAAATATACAAAACGTGTTTAAGAAATAATACTTTCAATAGGCCAAGCATATGTGGTTACCGAAATGATACGGGTCTAACTTTCTAGCTCACCCATGTTTTATTAAGTTAGGTGTCGAATCTTGGTAGACTAATGAGTATTGCCTACCTTGAAGAGTTTGTCCTTGAAGAGTTTGTCAATTGTAACATGTGGTGGTAATGTTAAAGGCAGTACTTCCTGCCTATAAGTGAGTGATTCTCAACCGGTGATGCATGTAATGCGGGTAATTTCTATTTGTTACTGTATTGCTCTGTATGCATCAACGGTTGGAAGTTATCTTAATAAAAATAACATGCTCATGATTGACAAGAAGAGTAACAACTGACCATATCCTCATAATAGATTGAAGTAAATCTGAAGTAATACCTGAAAATGATTTCGTTTCAAATATGTCAACAGTACATTTTGAATCACAAACAACCAAATACTGTTATGTGGTTTTGTGGCTTTAAACCCCTGTAAATTTTTTGTTAATTAGAAAATTGCTTATCAAGGCTGAACAAGACACCTGATTCTTCAATTAGGTATTTGATATTTTTACCACAATTAGCTATGGTTAATTTGAGAGCTAAAAACACTCTTCTCCTCTGAAAATAGGCAAAAATCCCCATCTCATATTTGTAACAATATTAACAGTTGACCTTGTCCAAAACCTTAAAATACCAAAGCATTTTCCATGCAATATCACACAAGCTAGCACCTTCAAAAACTTTTAATAGAAGGCATCCATTTCACTGTTCTTTTAGCCGTCTGGTGTTGAAGGCACACAGACATATATTACAATTAATTTTTTTTTACCTCTTATTATTACGGTGATCCCCTCCTTCAACACACAGGCGGCTCACTAAGGTAAAACAAAAAACAAAAAAAAATCAATAGGTAGAAGGCAGGGAAGCAAGAAAATGGGGAAGATTCAGCTTGTAGTGTTCATGTTGGCAGCAATAGGCTGTTTCTGGATGGGATCAGTGTCTGCAATGGATCACATTGTTGGAGGAAGTGCTGGCTGGACTACTCCTCCCAACAAAACTTTCTTTCAGGACTGGGCTTTTCCAAGAACCTTTGGTGTTGGTGATAGACTTGGTAAGTGTAATTCATTGCCTTTTTTCCCATGTTTTTCTTTAATTATGTTTATTAATTTGTCTGAATGCGTGGTCCAAATTTCAGTTTTCCCATACAGATCTGGCTCCGGAACCGTGGTAGTGGTGAACAAGGAAGACTTCGATAAATGCACTCAGAAAAATGTGATCTACATGTACTACAATGGGCCAACCATCATCAAGCTCACAACCACAGGAGAGAACTACTACTACAGCGGCGTTGGCAAGCACTGCGAGGCTGGCCAAAAGCTCTACGTCAAGGTTGTCAATCAGAAGGGCTCATCTGGCAAAGTCTACCCATTCAAGCTCGTTTCCAAAGATACCAAGATCGCCGCCGCGCCTGATACCGCCGCTGCCGCCGCACCTGCTAAGTCATCAGCCAATGATGCAGCACCCGCACCTGCTAAGTCATCAGCCACCGCCATCCAAAGTGCTGGCATGGCTTCTGGCTTGTTAACCATCTTCTTCTCTCTCTTCATCTAAAGAGTCCCTACGTATATCATGTAATTATATTGAGTTATAACTATACCATGTTTATGAGATGATTATTTGGGAACTACTGTATGGAAGTTAAAGTAAATAATTCTAATAATTTGTTTAAAACCTAGATTTATTGTTGTAAATACACACAACCCTGATTTTCTCTATCATATCATTCTTTTTTGAATCTCTATGTTATAACGTTTTGCATACTTGCATTGCATATCTGTTCAACATTTAAAATCAAATTTAAAATGTTATCAATTTTGGTGAATCCATTTTAACTGAATTAGAGTTTAGTTCAAACCAATTCTTGTGAATCTCTCACCCCTCCCCTCTAGAATAGATCGAAATTGTAAAACATAGTATGTTGGACTGTTATCCAATTTAACAAATTCAATCTCAATATACGAAATTTTTAGGTTTGCCCAGTCCCGCTACAAAGGCAAGAAAATTATTTGTAATTGGGCTTCCATAGTAGGTGTAAAACCAGCAGAGTCCAACTATGAGCCCAAAAAACAAAGCCAATGGGGCTCAAGAAAATTATTTGTAATTGGGCTTCCATAGTAGGTGTAAAACCAGCAGAGTCCAACTATGAGCCCAAAAAACAAAGCCAAGGGGGCATACATAGTAGGTGTAAAACCAGCAGAGTCCAACTATGAGCCCAAAAAACAAAGCCAATGGGGCTTGGAATTGGCACTCTCCAAGACAGAGCCAATTTCAGATAAACCAAAATTGTTCGATGAGAAACTGAATAATAATATGTGAGGTCCAAAATGAAAGAAGAAAAAAAAACATTTGGATAAAGAAAGGCACAAGAAGTGCATGGTGGAGTGTGGAGTGTGGGCTTTTATATTGAATATGAAGCAGCAGAAATCATGAGATATGAATGCCTGCGTGTTATGTAGATGCGTATCCAAAGGGAGACCCACAGAGGAAATCTCACTCAATATTCTGTATCATCACTTTTGCTGTCGGGTGGCTGCTCTCTCAACTTGATACCCATTTGACCCGACCTGCCTAATTTTCCACACACATTGCATGACTTGGCATAAATAGAATCTCATATTTTAATTTCAGCAATTACTACGATCCACATATTGTGTGGATATTTTTTGGTTATGAGATTGGAGGGAATGGGAAGCTATAAATTTAGATTGGGGACAGCCTCCCTCTCGCATTAGTTACAAACTTTTCCTTAAATACAAAACCCAATTACTAGTTTTCGACTCAAAAAGTAGTCATAATAACTCGTTTTTGGTTTAAGTGGTATCTGGGAGGAGAATTAGAGGCACATCATGACCTACAAGCAACACTGGCAAGACCTTGTAGGCAGGGACAGAACTACCTATAAGGCTACCCTATGCTCTAGCCCAGGTAGCTTCTTGAATATTTTTTTCATAAAAATAAAACCTATTGGGGACAGCCTCCCTCTCGCATTAGTTACAAACTTTTCCTTAAATACAAAACCCAATTACTAGTTTTCGACTCAAAAAGTAGTTATAATAACTCGTTTTTGGTTTAAGTGGTATCTCTTTTTTCAATGTTGGGAGGAGAATTAGAGGCACATCATGACCTACAAGCAACATTAGCAAGACCTAGTAGGCAGGGACAGAACTACCTATAAGGCTACCCTATGTTGTAGCCCAAGTAGCTTCTTGAATATTTTTGCGGTCTTCTTAGTAGTTTCCCAACTATTTCTAAGAATTGGGAATATTATTTTTCCAACGTCTGTTTTGTGGTGTTCTTGGTGGTTTTCCCATTGTTCTTGTGTTAACCCTTTTGTTGCATTTAATTTGTATTTTTTTATATGCTAAATTTATTGGAAATTAGTTCATAGGGCTATGAACTAGCGTAGTTATATGATTTAATGTATATTTTTATTTTTAGAAAAAAAAATTGTAAGTTAAAAAATATAATTTGATTTTAAGCTAAAAAAATTTACTAGCCCTCCTTCGAAAAATTTCTAGTTTCACCCTTACTTACTAGTAGGGCGACCTGATTGGGAGTCAAAAGATCCACATGTCCTAAATTTGAATCCCCTTTCCTCCTTAATTAAAGAGAATACTTAGAAAAACACTATGAACCCTAATTTTGAAGAAATTTTGAGTGAACTATCCAACATCGAACTCACGGGAGTTAGCTCCCACAAGGGCAACCATGACATGGCAGTCCCCCAAAATTTAACAATAAACAAGAAATGCTTTGGGGTGCTTACAATTGCAACATCCAAACATTTTGTCCATCATAGAACTAACAAAAGACAAAAAAGAGGAGAGATATTTTTGGATTGCTATTGATCTTGCGATTCATATATATATATATATATTACTTAATCTTTTTATGGTGGTAGGAAAAATAGGTGAATATGACCAAAAAGCATGGCTTGATATTAGAACCACACATCCCATAAAACTATAGACGCGGAGAAAAGAAAGCTCCTCTACAAAATCTAGAAAGAGTCAAAAAAAATTAAAAAAAAATATCATCCCATGCCTCGGCAAATCTTAGCCTCACATCACAAATGGGCCACTAAAGCCCATAACTTGGTGGGCCTTTGTCCTGACTCATGAGCCCAAATCTAAATCTTTGCACCCTCATCGAAAATCCATGGCCACGTCAACAAAATGAGAGCTGGTGGTGCCCGCAATCGTAATCAGAGGGCAGAGACACAGTGAAGTCTGAGCTGGAGGGGGACCAAGAGGGGCAATGGGTCCCAAGGCAAAAGGTAAAAAGGCCAGGCGCAACAACACTCGCGCTGCGCTGCTCGAGGTGATGGCTCAAAACCGTTAGCCTGACATGACGTGTACGGCCCCGATTGATCGTATGGAGGTGGGAAACAAAGAAGATCTTCTGGGGGGCTGTGGTTGCCCTCAGTGAATCTGCAAAAGTTTGGAGCTTTGTGCTTGAAGAAGAAGATTTATTTGTGCCTCTCTCTCTCTCTCTCTCTCTCTCTCTCATGGAAAAATTTTAATTTTGTGTGGGGCTAAGTTTTTGCATGTGTTTTGTGTCCTGTGACCTCTCCATATATTTGTGAGTGTTCAGAGAGAGGACAGAGGCGGCCTAGCCCAGAGTCAGACAAAGCTTGAGGTGAGGGGTAGCTACCTGACCCTAAAAACAAGTCACAAGGGCATTTTACAAATTTCGAGAAAACCCAAATTGTAAAAAAAATTTTTAAAAAAGGATGGTTTGATTTGAGGTGCAAATTTTCAGGTAGTGACTAGGGACGATGATGAAGTGAATTTGGTATGGACCATGGTGGGTGATATTTTGATTTTGGTTTGGTTGGTTGGTTCATGCATTTATATGGTTTCATTTGAGATTAATGTGTACCTAACTCTAGTTGAAACTTGAAATCCAGAAACATGTACGATTTTGTCTCAATTCAATGTGAGTAAAGCTATTTTGTTGGTTCACAACAAAAAAATTTGTCATTTTTGACAATATTAAATGCAAACTTTAAACTCCAAAATTTGAAGCTTTTCAACCCGGCAACTGCTGGCTAGCTATACTTTGCTGGATTTGCAGAATTATAAGTTAATTGCACAAGGTAACCCCTAATAAGAGAAGAATGGTATTGTGTGTAGTCCCGCCATAGCGCCATCCTCGTGGCGATCCTAATGCTGGTTTAGAGGTCATCTTTGTTGATGATTATAAATATCAGGGTGATTCAACCGTGATTAGTTTTTTGCTAGTTGTTGTTTTGATCTTAGTTGTTCGTGTAACTCAAAATACACAATATGACAATAGCAATGATAATATGTTAAATGATGTGACATATTAATGTTATCATCAAGTTCTACCTTAAAACAAAGAAGTTGCATAATTAATTTTCATAACTCATAAGATGCACATGATTGTAGGGACCCAAGTTTAAATACAACAAGGAAATGAATTATGTTGTCCCTAGCTAAGGCTTGAAGTGGGCAACAAGTCCTTGAATATCCCAACAGGGGGCTGAACGAGAACTCGAGAACTTGCAATATTTATGCTTTTATTCCCTTTATTTTTATATTTTACAAAGAGACCCCTTCTAACATCAATTCCTCGCTCTACCAGTGGGCCTTGCCATATGACATAGAGACCTACTCAGAAAAATCTTATTTCACTCCATTATTACAAAAGCTTTGCATTTGCAACACTTAAACTCCATGATCTACCAGAAAGTGACACATCAGTCCTCTCTCCCTCATAAATACCCTTCATGCAATTTAACATGCCTAGGATTTGTCACAAAAGAAAATCCATAAAATACAAAGGGCCTTTGAAATGCAAAAATATCAAATAGATTGGCAGGCAGGATGAAAAGAAAACAAAGAAAAAGACACAATAGGTCTCTCAGGGTATAATTTGTCAATGTCATATTAGGCATGCAGGCTAATGAGGGCAGGGCGTGCTCAGGTTTATTTTCAGTGTGGCCAAAACCTATTTAATAAATATTTTGGCTCTTGTTTGAGGAATAAGCTAGCATACTTTTTTTGGATTTTGTGGACTGGGGCATCTTAGTGTTAGCCAGCCAGAGTGAGTTTTCAGCTGCTGCTAGCTGCAGTTGGGTCTCCAGTGTGGTGAGCCGCTAATGTGACAAAATATATGGTGGCATTCCAGACAATCTCATGGACCACTGGATTGCTCTTTATCCAACCATGACCATTGATCTAGCCCTCACACCCTTTTGTCACCCCCCAAAAAAAAAAAAAAAAACTTAGTATGGTTTTTTAACAACTATGGTAAATATAAAGAGTTCAATGACAATTAATTCGAACTTATGCTTCGAATAATTTTGATTAACAGTCTAACAACATAATATGTCATGTAAAAAATAGTTTCGTATGGCGAATGTTTAACCTATATCATATTTGTAATCTTGATATACTCTCCAAAGTCAAACTATGATGGGTATATGAAGCTCCCAACTCATGCTTTAGAAATAGAGAGTCAAACATGACCTTTTCCTTTTATGTGCTCCTTTACTCTCTTTTTCCTTTCTCTTTCTATCCCCTAAAAGATGCTATTTTTTTCTACATTTTACCAGCAGACAAAACGCAGAAGTGAAGTGAGAGAGCTCAATTGGAGTAGAAAAACTTATATGAAACGAGGATAACATTGATTTGCTATTCTCGGCGAATCTTGATTTTAAAAATTAACATTCCAATTGGGCACTGTAGTGCACCAAATCAAATTATATATACATATACATGTGTGTGCAAACCAAAGCCCCCCAAGAGATGCATGAAAAGTTAGCTAGCGGGGAAGGAGAATTTTGTCATATGTTGTTAGTGAGTGACATGAATAAATAGCTATACCAAACGACATTAATGAGAGTTTACAATAAATGAAGCAATGCAGTCTTTGCCAACTTCAAAACGTTAGGTGCAAATAGCATCATTTGTCAGTTTCACCTATTTGCCCCCCACCATTTTAGTGAGTGCACTGCTAGCTATATAAAAATTAAACACCAAATTGATTGCAATTTATATCTTACAACTAGTCAGAATTTTACTAGATTCGGTCCAATCTTATAATCCTGACTCAAAATAAAATCACCTTTTAATTTTACAATTCAATTTATAAACACAGCAGCACGTGTGCTTCTCCACATGGGTTTGCAAAAATATTATGGGACTGTTACGGTTGTTTGTAATGTTTATATTAATAAATCGATATTTACCTTCTATGTCGTTGGCACGTGGGTTTAAAAGATAAACCCAAAAAGAACAGAGCACCGTACCGTAGCAAAACTCTCCTTCATTCACCGTTAAGAAATAAACAATTACAACCAAAACTGATAAAACAAAAAAAATTTAAATTAACAATATAAAAAAAACACATTCCGATTTTCTTTCCCACCGATACAAAACTTGCCGTCAAACAGGCAAAACACGAACGGGAACTCTCCTTTGTCACCGGAACGACCTCGAACTGTCATTTGTCTTAAAGCGCAACCAGAGGATCCGAACTGAAAAGATCGCCGATGTCCTGGAAATGGTCATCCACACACCACCCAGAGGAACCAAAACCGAAATCCCGACCCGAGTCAACAAAAATTTGTCCGAAATTTCCGAATTCGCCGAAATCTTCCTTCAAAATACCAACTTCTCGGAGACTCGTTTCCGAGAAGAAGTCAGGTATCGAAGTCTGGAAATCAAAAATGTCGTCCGGGATAAATGATTCGAAACTCGTGTATTCCGAAAACTCGGAGAAGTTCTCCGATACGCAAGAGTCGTCTCGGACATTTCGGAATTCGGCGATGTCCGGAAACTCCTCTTTCAAACTCGGAGAGTCGGCTTCTTCGTTCGAAGGTGATGGACACCGCAACACGGAGGTCGGGGAGCAAAGATTGTTGTGAGACTCGTCGCAGGAATTGTAGCCAGAGCTAATAACCGGCTTCACGTCTGGCAAGGACTTCGCCGGAGGAGCAGCGAAGTTAGTGAGCGCGTCAGGTCCACGCAGCTGAATAGCGGCGTTGTCGTACACCATGGCGGCCTCCTCCGCCCG